ATAAAGGATAAAAACAAAACTCTTTGTTTACAGAGACCCAAAGAGAGGTGTTGAACTTAGCCGTAGACCAAATCCCCCTCCCCTAGGGCATCTCTACCCTAACCCTTTTTTTGTCTCTCTTGAGCCAAATGTTCCAGAACACAGCGAAAAAGATAGTCCTCCAAAAAACGCCTCCCTTCTTTCTAAATGGAGGATGCCACAACACCTCCAAAACCATCAAGCAACAAGAAATGGGCCGAGGAAACAGTGAAGGTCTCCATAGCAAAGTTACATCTCCAAAGCACATGACCCCCTCTTTTTGAACTTTTATATCTTTTACGTGAAAGTGCATAAAGGTGGTTGGCACTTGTGGCCTTGGGTCATCTCTAGAGAAAAAAGGCTAGTCTTCAAACCCGGTTTGCTTCTCAAATTTTGATCAACTTGGTTAACTGGTCTTAGTTTTGTCTTTTTCTCACCATCCCCACTTATTTGCAAAGTAAAAAAATGAACCAGGAACGTCCAAAAAAGGCAATGTTTGTTCAGCGCAGTCAAGTCCATTCTATGAAACTTGTGGTTAAAAAGACATAAAAGAACTTCTAATGATAATTGCAAAAAATCAGGATGAAGATTCTGATTTGGCAAGATTTACTTGTTTAAATTAGTATTCCTTTCTTCTTCTTGCAAATATTCYCCATTTCTAATTAATTCTAATTGGAGTGGTTTTCTATAAGCTCTTGGGGGCACCAGGAGTTAAAGATTACTTTTGGAATATGCTTGCAACTCTTCATTGATAGTTGAAACAGTGAAAGTGTTTGTTTCTAMAAAGATATAGAGCTACTATAACAAAATAGATTGTGGTTAAACCCCATCATAAAATAACCATCTACTAAACAAAATACAGATCGACAGGCTTACAATCTTGTGGAGGTAATACTCTGATTGTTGCACGCAACTCCTGGATTGCAGGTGGAGGAGGAGAAGCTGTTGGTCGACAGTAGCCTGTATGCATGAGAACTAGAAAACAGAATAGAACATCAACCTGCATTATTTCTCATGGATTTACATCTATTCAATGAAGTAGAAAACAGTGCGACATTGTTCCACACACCAGCGACAAGATCTGAATCATACGTGTACACATCCGTTCCCCACAGTTGTCCACCCCTGACCTGCACACATAGTTTAAAAGCCTTAAT